TTAGTCGAATTTAGTTTCAATCACTCTTATCTATCGTTTTTTTTTTATTTCTTTTTTTTTCTCCGTTATCGAACACTTGTCTGCACATAATAGTTCTTCGCGCCTAATTCTCAAAATAATATCAGGTATAATAATATACGTATGTATTAGTGCTGAGAAAAATGTGGATTAATCCGAAATCCTGGTTAAAAAAATGTATTCAATGGATCCGGATTAGTCCGTTTAACCGGCCGGATTGACGGACTCGATCTGTAATATGAACCCGGCATTCTGGATCTGGATAAATTAGTAGAGGATTTTTTACTATTGTACGAATGAATTGCCCGTGTTGGTATATTATTATAATTTTATTAACATTTTGTCTGCGATAATTCATTTAAATTTTTTAACAAATTAAATCATTAGCCCGGCCATTGTAATCCGGATACTATACGCGTCCATACGGATTGTTACCGTCTTTTCAATCCGGATTCCGGATAAAATCGGAACGATTAATACACTGCACCGCTAGTATACGTTATTATATTAAACACTTTCTTTCTGTACGTCTGTATAACATAATAATATACACTGCAATAATAATAAAGATTTATGACGGCGAGCGTGTAATGAAAAAAACAACGAAATTATAAAGAGAAAGACGCGAGAGCAAACGAGGTGACTCGTGGAGAGAGAGAGAGAGAGAGAGAGTGATAGTCGGACGCGTGCGTACGGAGTGAGAGAGATGCATATAATATTACAGTACTAAATTAATGTAAAATGATTATACACATGCAACATAAAAATATATATGTATGAAAAATTTTATAATGGTTCGCTTTTAGTTTAATGTATGCTGGTGTTGTAACATACTGACCGGTTAGCTATTACGACATCGGCGCGGTGACGTATAGTAACGCGTTGGAACTATCACCGCCGACTTCATGCCAACAATAATATCGAAAAACCCCGGCGGACACCGAATCTCCGGTTCGGGACGTACCTATAGTATTATAGGCGATATGGTGCGTAAATATACAGGGTGATCATAAACCGACGATTTTCTCGAAGGATTTAAAGCGAATTCGATTTGTTTGTTTGTTTTCAATGATCATACACGGATTCGTCACAGCTCTTTTTTAACGATATTGGCAATTTTTTACCATTACTCCTAACACCCGAAATGAGTATACACTTTGGATTTCCAAAAAGCACCCTATTCCCGTCCCCTTTTCGACAAGATTCGAATAGGTTAGATTAGGTTATGTTAGGAATCATCGTTTACATTTTAAAAATTGGAAATATTGTAAAAATAAAGTCTAAATGATTACTTACCTACCTAAATATTTCAAAAAAAAAAAAATCAAATTCACTTAAAACCCTTCAAAAAAATCGCTGATTCCATGATAAGTTGATTTATATTCATATATTCATTTATATGAATAAGCAACGATAAACCATTGCTTGAAAAAAGACGATTCCGAGTGCAGCTCGGTTGTAAATAATTTGAAATGCCGTTATTTTGTTTGCGTTTTTCGTTTAAGTTTTATTGTTTTGAAATCAAATTTAAAAAAATTTTAGGTTATTAAATAAAAAAAAAAAGTCCTCCGATAATTTTAGAAATTTGACTACGACTAGATATGTAAAATATATGTATTATTACCAAGTTTCAAGTATCTGCGTGTATTTAAAACCGAATTATAGCAAAAAAATCCCAAAAATTACAATTCCTTAAAAGCTCAAAAGTTTTAACGATAATACCGTAAGAAAGTGCATCAAAAAGGCAAAACAAAAGGTATCTTGTGATTTTTCGATTAAATCATTTTTTCTGTTAGAAAACGTCGTCCGTGTTTTTGTAATGAAATCGTGAAATTTTACGTTTTCCTGAGTTTTTTCCCCACTTAAGTGCTTTTATTTAAAAATGTGCGTAGAAAATCAAAAAAATAAACTCTTCAAAGTACAATCTAGACAACTTAAAATTTTAGAAAAGTTGCTACGTGTAAAAATCGGATCAAGTTCTCTAGGAAAAACGTCCACAGGCTAGAACAAAGAAAGAAAGAAAGAAAGAAAAAGAAATAAATAGCGTTGTAAAATCAATAGCTCCCTCGCTACGCTCGGAATCTAAACACAATAATCATTAGTTAATTTGATAAATTGGTTAGTTTAAACAAATGTATAGGTTGTTGAGTAACAACGATTAACTGTGAAAGGTACGGAGTGAAAACGCTGAATCATGGGGAATACACAGTACTACGCAGGGATACGCGGTTTCATATTTTTTTCGTTTTAAAATGACACGTGTGTACTGACACGGGCAAGTATATTATTTTTGTGTGGATATTTTAATTAATTTACCGGTGTGCGCATATAAATATTGAATTACTTATGCTATGAATAATCGATATTTTTCTTTTTTTAAAAATTATGAAAATATTGAAGTCGTGAAATTTTACGTTTTCCTGAGTTTTTCCCCCACTTAAGGTTTTATTTAAAAATGGCCTACAAAATCTTAAAATGACTTGTTCAAAGAACAATCTAGACAACTTAAACTTTCAAAAAAGCTGCTACACGTAAAAATCGGATTAAGTTTACTAGGAAAAAAACGTGTCCACAGACTAGAACAAAATAAACAAATAAAGAAAGATAAAGAAGAAATAAACAGCGTTGTATAACCAATCTGAAAAAAGAATTCGGAATCTGAATAAAGTTAAACGTAATGCAGTAGTTTTTTTTTTATGTGTTTTTAAATCATATTTTGACGATAATCGTAAAATTAACGGCATTTCAAAACACGTATAACCGAACTGTGCTCAGATTCGCGTTCCGTTAGTAATGGTTTATCGTTGCTTGCAGATATAGTTTAAGCGATTGCAATAAAACGAACAGTCAGCAGTTTTGTCCACATCCCGGTATATAACGCCATAGATTCTATTTTAGTTTAATTTAATTTGTTTATTTAATTACTAATTAAATAATTGATGAAGTTGATGTTTCAGTCAAAAGGGAAAAGGGAGAAAAAAATTACTGTTGATTGAAAGTAATAAATTCGTTTTTCACAAAAACCTATAACAGACAGTGCAGGCGAATAGGCGGATAGGTACGTATAAGACGTACATTATGTCGTTAGTCGAGTTTTTTTGACTGGTTCATGACGCTCGTAATAATATTCCGGTGACCGATCAGAAAGACTCCAATATAATACGACTAATATTTCTATCTTTATGTTTTATCCGATCAATTTTATTTACATATTTATCCCTCAACTCAAAATTAACAACTTTAGCCTGTGTATAAACTACTAACTTTAGTTGTTCATCTGGCGATTTGGGTACACCAGTCATATCAAGACCGTTTACAAGTTTACAAGTCAGTACGACAATATTGATATTACCTTTCAAGGTATACATTTCACGCTAAATAATAGTTACTTTATGCTCGCAGCCATTTATTCTTTTATCTTGCCCACATACTTTTGGAATTGTATTCTGTAATTTTATATTATATTCGCCTACTTTATCAGATAAAAATAAAATAGATTTTTTTATTGCACTGTAGGATGTGATAGTTAGACTATTTAATTTAATTCATATTTTGTTTACCGATGAATTTTTTATATTGATATCATTCAATGTTATATTATTATATTCATCTATGGTATCATTTATTTTTTTCATTTTCTTGACGGTTTTTCCTTGTAGTAACATTTTTTTTTTTTTGATAATCATATTTTGCTCACATTCATCACATATCCAATTTTGTAAATCATTTTTGATATTATTGATATTAGACACATAATTCTTGAGAGCAAATTGTTTACACAAAGAACACGTTTTTTTTTTAATATATTTTTTTTATAATTTAACGATAAAAATTGTGTGAACACTGGACTGGCTTAAAAAGTCACTCTATACATATAATATTATTATAAATATTTAAGAAAAGTGACTTTACGGGGGAATATGTCCCCCTAACCCCTCTCCCCCTGTTTGACTGTCCTTGTTACCAACAGCTAACAAACGTCTAATAGGCGCTCGTTTTTGCGAATAATCGACGGTGCTACCTAACGTAGAAGTGTAAAATTCGGAACGGGCAGCAGGGAACTTTGAATTCGATCGGAAAAAGTCGGCTAAATTTAACTCGCGGGAACCTGTGATTCGACCGTAAACGAAATGCGATTTTAAAATATTATGTCAAAACGCGAACCGATTTGGCGTTTACCGTCGGCTGGGATATAACAGTATGCTGTCGTTAATATTATTTATACATATATATAAAAAAATAAATTGTCCTGACTGGTTCATCATCGCCTAGCCCGAAACTGTTGGACGAATCGGGCTGAAATTCGGCACACAGTTAGCTATTATGACGCAGGCGTCCGCTAAGAAAAGATTTTTGAAAGTTCAACCCTTAAGGGGGTGAAATAGGTTTTTTTTTAGGTGTGTTTGGTACGAATTTCTAGTTGCTTATTTATTTATTTATTTTTGTTTGTGATACGGATGATAATTTGGTTGTCACGGATAAGAAAACTGTTATAACATTATAATTGTTACCATCATTTACACTATTAAAATTGCACAATACACAACTTTCGGTCCGCCGAAAGTGGACTACCCGCTTTCCGCACGAATGTTTCCATTCAATTCCGACGCGGTCAAAACCAAAAATGAATATGGGTAAAAAAAAATCAAAAATAATAATACGGGCGACGCCGGGCGCGGGTCGGCTAGTTATAATGCAATCGCGCGCCTAACCTAACCACCCCCCGCTCAACGAATCGAATAAAACGGTCTTTGAAAACAAAAAAAAAAAAAATAATAATAATGACAAACACGCACTGCGTAATAGATTTGCGCGCCGCACCCGATCCGTACAATATTATATTACTGCGCTATCATCGTTATCGTTCGTCGTTATCAATCGTCCCGTGCCCGCGCGGGCGCGCACGTATGCGACAACGTTGTACGGCATAACGCCACTTTCATTTTTCTTCCACCGTCCGGCTTTGCGACGGCCGCTATTACGTTATCGTTACTATCGTTACTATACAAGAGACACGAAACCGTTCACTCGGTGGTTCACGCGGACGAAAAGGAACGCGATAGACCCATAGACGTACGGTCGCGTCCGAGATCAGTGGTCGTCCGCCGTTACCGCTAGTCATCCGCCCGCCGCGTTGATAACAGTCGCATACGGAAAATATCCCCGCGGCCGAACTCCCGGACGAACCCGTTATCACATCGTTGCGTTTTATATTTTCGACATTTTATTTTAGTATTTCCTCACTCTGACAATCGTCGCGTCTCGCCGTTCCGCGGTAACGATAACGATAGCGCGCACTGCACTGTACCGTGAATGCGAGACGTCTAAAATACGCGTATATAATAAGCGCCGGCGCACCGCTGCTGCAGCTCTTTGGAACGCCGTATCCCGTCGTGTGCGTGTGCAGTGTCCGAGCGAGACCGATTAAAATAACGCGAAAAACCGCAGAAAAAAAATAAATAAAATAGACAATACGTCTATTTAGAAAAAGAAAAAAAAAACCACGGTATATAAAATATATATATTTGGTATATACCTATATATAATATTATACGCGGTACCTCCGAGAAGACCGACAGCGCGCGCGTGCCAGCCGTCCGACCGACCAGAGGTAATTATCGCTGTTATTGTTATTGTTATTACTATTATCAGTATATTATCATTGTTGTTTGGCTTCCCGGTCCGCCAGCGCGGATCTGTCTCCCTTACGGCCGCGAAACCAGTGCCCGTAAATCGGCCGGCCAAATGTTGCATTTCATCTTTTTTTCACATGCGTGTCGACAATTGTTTCTATAGGCGCCCACCGCGGTTTTTGCGTTCGGTAAAGAAAAAAAAAAAAATATTCTAATTTTCGTGACGACGGGACAGCCACCGTCATGCGTGGTAGTCGCGTGACGGTTTGGCGCGTCCAAAGGAGTAAGCGCGTCAAGATGTAAATCACGTGAATCCGCTGCCCGCTGGCGTTCATTGTTCACTGCCGTATCATTGTTATGCTAATCATATTGTAATATTAAATAATTGTATTATGATTTTATAATAAAAACAAACAAAAATGTTTAGTGGTTTTCACCAGTAGTAATTGTTGTAATTGTTCATCAGGCATGGGTTTGCCAAGAAACTTTGAGGGTTGATGACAAATTAAATCTTTTTCTGCGCCACCGAAAATCGAGACAGATTTACGCCACTGGCCGTGATCTCTATCCGTCCAGCCGAAATCTTCCGGTTCGGTCTACGTCGTTTTTTTTTTTTTTTTTTTTTTTTTGCGGTCTAATAGATACGTCTTCCCGCCCCCGCGTTGTTGGCCTTACCAAAGGTCTTTTCCAGCCAGTGACCGTGTAGTAAGTAGTCGTTCTTTCAGCTCTTGTTTTTATATGCCCGTTTAACGTAGCCGTCACTATTGCAAGTTGACAAGTCGGCAAGTATCGTATTATAATATCGATACATAAATATTGAACGCGCAACGGTCAATAATCACAAACAAAAAACGATTCTGATTGTGAGCGGGACTCGTTAAACTGATAAAATCATCTTTCTATGTAGGCTTAACCTTAAAACGCACATTAATATGACCCGCTCAATATTAGAAAAATCGACTTGACATACTATCATCATACACGAAAAATAGAGATTTGTCTTCTTCTTTGAGCTTCTCTTTTTTTTTTTTTGTGTAAATACCTAATTTTTGTTTTTTTACACTTTGGTAATTTATTACTTTTTTCACGCGGTATAATGCGAGTATGTCGATGCGGATTCATCTTCGAAACCGCCTGTCTAAACTTTACCGTCCGTCGAGACTGCAGTCAGGTATAATAATATTATAATAGGTATTAGGCGTGCGCATACCCATAGACACGTAAGATTATTTCGTTAATGTCAGCTATGTTTTCGCAGTTGACCGGAAACGGAAAAAAAAACCATCTCTAACTGCGACTTCCCGTTTGCCGCCACCCACGAAATAATAAAACTAAAAAACCATTTGTAAACCAGTTCGGATCGTGCGGTGTAAAAGTATATATATAAAAAAAAAAAAAAACGTATTTACCTATACTCGGCAATCTCGCGGGTTTATAACAGTATTGTGAAAACCCGTCGGACAACGTAAACGTAGTTATAATACCCACGTCGTAATGAATACGTCCGAGCAGCTTTGTTGTTGGTTTTTGTCTTTCTTTTCACTTTTTTTTTTATCTTACTTTAATCACGTAACTCAATTAAAAAAAAATAAAATAAAACCTATACTCCAACGAAGAAATCGCGTAGCCTGTGTAGTCATTAACTATAACGACAATACTTTTCTTATTTATTTCGTGTGTATTATTATTATCATAATATTATTCGCATAATTCAATTTGAGTATAAAAATGGTAGAGGGTTGAATGTCAAAGCCATCAAAAGGCATATTTTCGATAGTTACTAATAACATCACGTATTATACAAAATTGTGTCCCCCTGTTTTAATTGAGAGGGGAAGGGGGTATGTAAGGGCGTTCAAAGCTAAAAAACAACCTCCTTATGCCGTTACAATATGGTGAATTCATAGTTAAAATTGAATCAGATTTTTATTAATTTCAACTCGCCGATAAAACAACTCTTCCGATTTCGAGCTTATACGTATTTGGTTAATGGGAATTGTTAAAAATGTCTAAAAGTAGCGAGGAAAATATTGTAAAGTAGCAATAGCCTCTACTTTTGGGGAATATTCGAAAACAGGCCAAGCTATAATGTAGATTAATACAAAAATGAATGTCTTACAAATTCGCAGACCGAGACACCGCGGAAGAAAAGAGTCTATAAATCCCCGAGACAATTTCTACCAAAACCGAATCTACGCATTTTAATGTGGAAACATTTCAATAGTCAAAGGCATAGACGTAATACAATAATATTTTCAGTTGCGACGTAATATCCTGACGATAGTCACACGTGGACTATAATTATAATTAAAAATATATTTTTGTGAGGCTATGAATATTAAAGTGACGTGAGATGAGAATAATATTCCTATGGAGATTATTGCCGAGGAGAATATTCTCAATACATTGTTATGAAGTTAAAGTAGTTATATCTCGAAACGGATTGATATGCTGAACACCTGCAGTGATGCGGTTTGGTCTAGTTTTTTAAACCATTTTTGTTTTGAAACCAATTAATTTCGAACGAAATTCATATTGAGATTTTGAAACATAGTTTCCCTAACAAACTAAATATACCAGAGTTGTTGTAATAAGAAAATTATAGATTAGAAGGTGCCTCATTCGCCTCGTCCGACATGCCGCCACTGGTGTTTATTTTCCGAAATTATTTTGGCACTGTCGGAAGTTTTCAAGTATATTTTGAGTTTAATTTTCGCTGTTCGTTTTTTGTGAACTTAAACATCGGGTTTGGTCGCGTATTATTGTCACGCGTTGTTTTTTTTCTCTCGTCTCACAAGCGTTTCAGTGTTTTTTTACGTACACGTACACTGACGACGACGAGCAGCGCAAGTGGTCGATTTTTTTTCCATTCGTCGTCATCGCGTTCGTCTTTCACTTTTTATTAGTTTTTTTTTTTTTTAATAATATATCGATTATTGTAGAAAAATAAGTACCGTCATCGCTGTCCGGGCATTTCCCCACACCCCCACTCTGTATCAGTACCTCTCTTTATTGTTGTAGTTGTAAAACAGTAATCATTCCGGACCGTTCACTGCCGCGGCTCGTCGGCGTTGCATAATTTTTACGAGAAAAAACACTCACACATATACACACAAGTGTGTAATAATCGTAATATTTATCATTATTTAATAATCGGGCCACGAAACCGGTACTTATACCACTCACCAGGTATTCTTACACACACACATACACACTACACACTACACACACACACACACACACACATATACACTCGCACACATATAAACACTGTCGATTTGCTGTTGTCGGACGACTACCGACGACGACTTTCACCGGAACGGAGGTGGCCGCTATGACGTCGTCGTTTCACTCTTCTAAACATCTCACACGCTCGTGACTTTGTTTTTTTTTCCACAACAAGGACTGTTGTTATATCGTTATTATGCTACATAAAATATGCATACAGGGTGATTTTTGTTTTATCGTCCGATAATACCTACCTAATATGTACGACGTACATTGTACGTATTATAGCTCCGCATTTCTCGTGTACACGAGGAATAAACATTCGAATCTTTAAAACCGTGTGTACTACAGTATTACCGTGTAACTATTCACGTTTACGCGTATGTTCCCGTATTTTGGACTCACGTATTTCCACGTGAATACATAAACAACACTAAACCACGTAAACACTGATAGTAAATTCACGTGCATTAAGTATACGTGAGTACCAACATTTTTCATTCGCATGCACTCTTGTTTAAAACGAAACCTTACTGAACCACTTTAACACCAAATAGCAAACAAATGAATAATGATTAGTAATACCTATATACAGTGATTCGATTTGAATGGTCATTTTTTAGACAGTTAAATTATAAATTACTTATGTACGACAATATATTAATTAAAAATGAATGTGTTTTTTCTCAGTTTAATAGTTATTCAAAATGGTACAATTTTCAAATTAAATATCTCCCTCCTTGACTAAGTTCTAAATACTTCATTATCGGATACATCACGATACGTTACGTATATTGTAATAAAACGCATTAAACCTTCAGCTATTAAATATTATAATATTGGATATTAATATCCTTATCGACAATCCGGAGTAAATAAAAACAAACGAAAAATTGTTTATTTCGGCACAATCTGCAGCAGTAAATTATAATTCGGCATAAAATCCGACACGCGTAACCTGCAAGTGGTTCCTACGTAGCTTTTTCGTCGTAATAATTTCAATACCCTGGTCCTCGGTCTTTTTTCGTCGAGATACGCGTGTTTTAATTGAACGGAATTTCTCTCGGTTTTAATCGTTAAGTGCAGTTAATTTGTCAATTAAGAAATGAAAATATCAAAAAAAAAAAATAATACAATTTTCATAAAAACTTCAAAACTTTAATCATTTCACCGTAAGTTCGATGGCGAAATGACGATTTTTAAAATTTCGAACGAAAAAATGAATCACCCTGTATAAATACACAATAAAATATTATATTTAACGTTTTCGCGGCTATTATAAAACGCCATTCGAACGATATAACATTCGGAAATACACAACGGGCATACTATACAGATTGGCGACGACGACCGGATATACCCGGATCGGTATGTTGTAATACGCAGCACGTAATCGCTGCCGCCACGCGCCAAGTATAAACGGAGAAAGAGATAAAGAGAGAGCGATAGAGAGGTATGGAATAACGTCGTTTGTTCGCTTACGGGGTTTTATAGTTTTCCTTTAGACACGTAAACCAAAACGATAAGTGTCCTGCAGATGGCTGGCATTCTGCGTGTGATCGAATGATAACGTGCTGCTCTGTAAACGGAAAACACGGAAAACAAGAAAACCGTGAGCCCCCCCCCCCCCGGTTGTGCCATTGCCGATAGGTTCGATTAACAACAACAGTGCAGAGTAATAATTATTCTACATTATTATATTATTTGCAGGCAGAATAATAATTAATTAAAAGTCAAATAGTTTTATAAAAAAATAAAAAAGAATATATATTTCGTCGGTTGTATACTCGTCATCGACATTTATATCGTAGGTAGGTATAATATCGACTATCCAATTTACGAATGCGACCACTCGGGTAACGACTTTTTTTCAGGAAAGTTGATTTGAAAATTCAACGAATATTATTTAGCCGACTATATAAAACGTGAGATAAATTGGTTATGAATACAAGTTTCGGTATACACATTATATTATATCATACCTTATGTTTCCATTGTCACTAACGTTATATAAATACATAAATTAATTGCAATGAGTATAGACGATTCGCTTTAGAACTGGATATTTTAAACCAAACTAGGTCATTCAAAACGAAATAAGAGCTCAGTGCTAGCGCTCAACTATTTGACTACATTTGATTGCGAACTCGATTTGAAATTATTGTTTTGAAAAGGACAAAAGGACATAAGGTTTAGCCAACTCGGTTTTGATAATTGTTTTTTTTTTTTAAGTTTTTGTAATCTTGAACTTGATAGTCAAAGTATATAATTATTATTAAAAACGGAACAAATGAGGCCGATAAGGCTGAAAAAAAAATTTCTCGATTTCATATATTGTTACATAATTATTCGTTGCTATAATAGGTGGGTACTAAAAAAAAAAAAAAAAAATTGTCGCGTAGCAAATATTTGAATTATCATGATATTTTAAAAACGACAAACGTTCCGCGAGTTAATTTATAAAGTCGAGTTATACGCATATATAATATCCAACGGAGATTTCGTATTATTGACAATGATATCAATTTAATTATGAACTGGTGATTATCTCAAAGGATTTCAATAGAATTTGTTTTTGTTTTTTTATAATTATGAAATCTCTAAGCTTCATATTAACAATAATTCCATTTTATTCTACTGTTCTTCTTATACCTGAAATGTATGTACACTTTGGATTTGCAAACAGCAATAGATTTATAAAAGTATCCGTATTTAAATGCCTTCCCTGCTCCTCCGGTCTAAACTTTAAACTGTTATAAATCATACACGGTAAATTCGATATTAGTGTTAGGTCTATTAAAATTTGTAGGAAAGTATCTTTCATTGGGAATTGTCTTCAAAAGGTGGAGGGGGGAGGCAGTGGATTGTTATTTGAAGATAGTACGCATTTCAGGCATAAGGAGTAGGCGTGAAAAATTGAAAATATTATTAAAATAAACCCGAAACGATGCCGTAATTATTTTGAAAAAAACAAAACACAAATTCCAAATACACTTAAAATCCTCTGAGAAAATCGCTTGTTCGTGATAATATGATCACTCTGTATAGGTAAATATTATATCGATTTCATCGTCACTAATTAAGTTGTTTCTGATCAATACGGAATATAATTTATACGTTAAGAAATCGATCGGCAGCACCATCGAGTGTTTTTTTTCTTTGAGTCACGAGTCTCCTCTCTCTGCATTATAATTTATTATTAATAAAATCTTTACAAATGAATATAGTCGTACTATGATATTATTATTACTATACCTACTCGAGCTGTTGAGATTGTATTCTAATCGAAATCCGCTTTATTAGTCGATATATTACAATTAAATATCTATTGTTTGCCGACTTGCTGCTGTAATTTCGCTACCGTTGTCGAGACAACAACCTCTTATCTCGTGTTTTTTTTTCTTTTATAATATAACAATCACGACATGAACTATTGAACAAATCGGCTTTTTCGACTTAAAATATACAGAGTGATGAATTCTTGACAAGGCACTCAACGGACCTCGCGGAAAGTATTACGTTTTTTCGGAATTGGTTTTTTTTAGAACACATAAGTAGCTCTAAAATTTTACAACGTAGTTTTATTTATCGGTGGTGGAGAATCGCCACCCACATTTGATTCTCAAATAACAACTTATGTTAAAAATTCCATAAATAGACAAAGTTTAAGTTTCAATAAGTTTTGCAAGTATTAACATTTGTAATTACCCTCAACTCATTAACGTGATATTCCTCTTGATAAGGATAAGGGTAGGGTAAAGACGCATTATGCAAACGTCGCACGCCGTACTACCACATAAATAATAATCCACCACTTTCCTGCTACCCAAAACTTAAAAGTGTCATATCTCGTCAACTGCGACGGTTTAACAGAAAATCTATTTTTTTTTTCTTTTTTGAACATAGCTATTGCTATTTAAAAATCAAACGTGGCTGTTGATTTCATTCCTAAGGGTAAGGGCAACAAAAATAACTTAAACATAACATTTCAGAAATGCTTATTGTTTGATAAATTGTCGAAAAACAAAATTCCGAAAAAATATTATACTTTCCGAGATAAAAAGTGACTTATTAAGGATTGCATAACACACGTTTACCTTGGCAATCGTGTCTGTCGGTATCTGTATGAATAATATACACGCATATAATATACACAATATAGGTACGACATACGTAATAACTTCGAAAAATTGATTTTTTTTTTTTTATAAAAGTATACACTATATTTGTTTTTGACCAAAAAGTTCGTTTCGGTGAAATTAAAACCTCATACGTCGAGTTTTACGAATATCAAAACCTCGTTTTGTCAAATTTTGATTTTTTTTTTTTCGAATTAACATCAGATTTACGTTGATGTAACACTATATGGGTACTCATTGGGATGGGGACGAAAGGGGGATATGTCCCCCCTTAGGAAATAATTAGGTATCCAAAAAATAATTATTTATACTTTGAGTCTATATATATATATATATAGTAAAAATAGATTGTATTATATTCTTTATACCGATGATGTGCACCATAGACTTTTGTTTATCACTAAGCTGATGTTTATACATAGATACATACCCTTTCTTCCTCATTCCATTTCAATCGTACAAAAATCGACTCGCCAGATTTCGCCACGGAGTCGACACGATACAATGATAATATTATTACAAATGTTATTACCATTTATGCCGGACGGGCAACAGCAGTAATACAATTGATCGAAACCGAGCGATCAACGTATTCGGGTATGTGCGTTTTTTTATCCGTCGATCGATTGTATCCGGTATTATTTCCGCGTATTCGGCCGGCAGTTATATACCTAATAATAATAATAATAATAATATTATTATTATTATTATTATTGAAAGACCGGATACGGAACGATTATAGACATCAGTCGTGAACTGACCGAGAGAAATGCCGGCGATTATGACGAGTGAAATCTTCGGAACGGACCGCGTGCCCGTGTCTGTGCGATATCACTATGTATTATTTTTTTACCGACGGGTTTGTCGACGTCATCTCGTCCGTTCACGTAATAATACCTGTTATATCGTTATAACGATGCGCATTCGTAGTTTTAATATGTTGCACAAATAAAATAATACTGCATAATATTATTATTATCTGCAGTGGCGTGCGTAGTGTTATCGCTCTGTAAAAACTGGGCCCGCGGTCCAAATGATTATCCTGTTTCGTAAAAAAAACTATATTGTACGTGTTAAATTATAATGGAGAAATCATAGCACGAAGTGTGATTGATTGTTATTAGAAGAAAAGAATTACAACAAAATTAAACATATTGATCGGAATAAAAAAACACGTAAAATTTAAATTTAAAAAGAAATACGATTGTATAAGTAAAAGCATTACGCAATTTGTCAACATAGTTCCCATCATTATATTTGACACATTTGCTATAACGAGACACTAGATAGAACGTCATAGAAGTACGCCGCTTGTGTTTGTCGTCAGCTTTTTTCACCTCATCGTCATATCCGTTGAAGTTCTAGCCACCAAAAGAAACGATTTCACGTGTAAAAAAAAAAAAAAGATGAAAATCACTAGGTGCCGGGTATAATTGTTTGCAATTCTTTGTCAAAAATATGGCATTCGTAGTTTTGTAATTCAACATTTTCTAATTAAAAAGTATAATGCATTAGCAGTTTTCTAAAACAATGATAAGAAATGAACGAGTTGATAACTTGTCGAGTTTCGATTACGGTCGATTGTACAATTTTCGGCTAAAATACGATTCAGCTGTTTTATTTTTTACTTTTTTGTAACGCCCTCTCCACATCACAGGCGGACGGCTAACTATTGAAAATCCATCGGTAATTTCTAAAGTTATTTATTTTTATTTTTCTCGCAATCGCTTGTCGAGTGTTACGCCACAGCGCAAATTGTGTGTCATACGAAACGCTTAAAAATGAATCAATAGTTAATTAACTACGAACTCCATAAACGATATAGCCGTATAGGTACGTTCGAATTAAAAAAAAAAAAAAAAGAGAAAGACGATATGTTGTGCGATACGTCGATACAAAATGAACGAAAACAAACGATTGAAAGACCGATTTTTCACTTCAGGCGTAAAAATCGTAAACGCAACACGGCATAATAGTGGCGGTCAAATGATTTTGTCTTGGGGGGGGGGAGGATGATAAGAACAATTTTTATGAACGATACGTATTATTTTTTTTAAACTCTAAAGATATAATAACAATATACGTATATAACAATATCGTATGTGCTTTTATGAACAATCAAGACAAAATGGAAATGGGGAGGGGTATTTATCGCCCTCTTAACCCCTTCCAGCGTTTCAGAGATGGCTTATCTGATATACTTCTCGAACGGTTTAATAGTCTGTACAGTGTACATACTTTGTTATCATTCAGACACCGCCAGATGCGGTGCGGATTTTGAGTAAAACGCCCCAATCGTGCCGCGCCCGGTGAATTGTAATTGTTGTAACGACCGCGGTTACCGGGCCGCGGCGCAAACGTGCGGTGGTCGCTGACCGTGCACCGCGACCGACCTGTTACGGAGGCAATAACCCGAAACGGTCGCTGGCGCCGGGGCGAGAGAGAGTGAAAGACAATATCATTTGATCGTGGTCGTTTACTATTGTAAAAGTGGCGATTGTAGTGGACCTTGGCCGACGACGCGTACAAAAACGTCGGACGACAGCGATCGATATATTATGACCGTTTTTGTTATTTTTTATCCCCTTTTTTTTTTTTTTTTTTTTTTTTAATAGATCGGTATTATCACGCGGGCGTCGGGACAAGGGCGCGATAGTTTTGCAGGCGCTCGCAACTCGCAGAGACTGCATAGGCGTGCGCAGAATTTTTAAATTCGGGTAGTGCCCGAGAAAAACGAATTTATTAGATCAACCCGATCAACTTTTATTTCCTTTCAATACCAAATATTACATAATAATAATTAATCCTGTACACTGTCTTTAAATTGATTTTCACAATTCTATCGATTACCTAATTAAATATCATATACACTCCGAAAAAGTAAAAGTAATAGTTTCTTTATCATCTTCAATCGATAATCATAGTATATAAATAAATAACTTGGATACTTTGACCGGGACACGAGTTATCTCAGTGAGGCCCAGTAATCTGTAAAACGGTTTTTAATTAAAATAAAATAAATTACATTCAAGCCGCAGCATATTTGGTAACACAGCCGTAAAATATAAGAACGAAATTGGCAGTGAAGTCGAAATGCATGAACTACATATTAAATTAAGGAAAGAAAAAGTGATGGTAATTTAAAAAAAAATAATAAATGTGTACCTAATGTTATCATATGTCGACATAATACCAAAAAAAAAAAAAAAATGTTCAGGTAGTGCCCAGGCAGACCCGGCACGCCCTGTGCGCATGCCTATGCATACGTATACAGTATTATAATATTATGACGTAAAGCCAAACAAATGTGTACCAGAAACGTTTTCCCCTTGGAATCCTTGTCCCGATCCCCGCCACTACCACTGCGGTTAACCGCCGTTGCCCAACTTAAGTTTTTAAAATGCATATTCTTTAATTTTCTTTTTAAACTCGCACTCGCATTAGTCGTGGGCTAAGCAATGGGAAATACCTTTATAAATTACTATTATTTTGTATCCAGCCAAGTCCTTTGTCAAGTCCTACTGTTTCTACTGGTCAGGTCGAGGATTTCAATGGCTCTAAACCTAGCGAAGTACTCAATGGCATTAGCACTTTGTTTTATGTAATTTTTATATATATATATAAAGATTACGTGCACGCACGCGCGCGCGCCACGCTGCGGGAATAGGTGAACGTGAAATAATATTATTGAACGCGGCCTTTTACGGATCTCCGATGGAGAAAGAAAGGAGAGGTGACTTGCGAGTGGGCGTGTAATGCAATAACGGTTATATTTATTTAGATTCGTGAATTACGCTACATAAAAAAAAAAAAAAAAATGAAAGAAAGAAAAAAAATCACTGAATTTATCCGCTAAAATGATACAAACAGAAGTACATTGTAGCTCGTTGCGTAACGTGATGGCACAAATCGCGCAACCGTTTCGTATACAAAAAGTTAACGAGAATAAATTTTCTAAAAAAGTCAGTAGTTTTTTTTTCCATCACGTATTATACGCGATTTAGTCATTATTTACACGTAAATTATGAAAAAAAAACTGCAATATTTGTCAAAAAAATATCATTAAATTTGATTTAAAAATAAAAAAAAAAAAATCGAAAAAATATTGTTATTATTTTGAAATTTAACTGAAAAATAAAATTAATATTTTGGAGTTTTCGTGATATTGCTAACACTGGTTGGCCACTGTTATAAGTGGGTAGTGGGAAATAGTTATAGGATATGCGGGGTAATTTATTTTATGAATACTGCATTTGCAACGATACAATATCACTGCGAACGAAATAAAAAAATTCTGAGCCGAGTTGCCCAGGTGACCGAGAAATCGACCAAAACCAAATGGAGAAAAGAAAAAGAACTTTAGTAGCGAATTTCTTAAAATTTTGATAAATATTTCAAACAAAGTAATAGAAATAAGTAACGATAGTTATTATTTCGGTGCAACTGAGCGTAAAAAATCATTAAAGAACCCGATTAAAAAACTCCAAACAAAACACGGTGAGTGTATGTGGAAGCGGGAGGGGGTAACCCGGTCATCGTTGTCGACCGCAAAACGGAGTGCGGTCCGTAATACTTTCCAATAACGTATTCTTATCTAAATGTATTATGTATTATTTATTTACACACTACATCGTTATCATAATAACATGACAATATTGACCCACACGTGAGCGTATAAAATATAATAGCCAATACTGTTGTGCTCGTGCGATTTTTTTTCCTTTCGATATTTCGCTCTGGCCGCAGCGTATGAAAAAAAAAAAACGTATGTTGGGAGACTATATAGCTGCGGAGGTAACAAACGACATTTTAAAAATTGTTTAAATCGTTTTTATTCAAAGTTATCGGCATTACACTCTGTTCAACTTTTTGCCCTGTGCTACAGCTTTTCCACGGCCCAGCCCGTGAAAAGTCGCTTTCAAAAATATCCTCGATCTTTTCGGTCACGGCTTTGATTCTCATTGGTACCAAAATGGTCACAGCGAGCTCTATTTTCAATTTCGGGAACAGACTACAGTCTATAGGGCTTAAGTGTAGCGAATACGAGGGGGAAGGGGGCGTCAAGTACCGGAACTGTTATTTTGGTCGAAAATCGGACGACATAGTTTTTCCGCAGTGTATACTGAAGCGCTGTCCTGCAACAAGAAAAAATATTAATTTAGGCCCACAAAGCGGATCTTACGTGCGTGCAAATATTTTCTCTAGAGGCGATTCTCCGATACGTTTTTATTGAGTGCGATATTGGCGGTACGTCCTGAGGGCATAGAATCCACCGTCCCTCGGGAACAATCAATATGATTCGGGTCCTGGAGTGTGCAAACATTTGGGCTTTGGCGGATAAAACAAATAATGCCCCCGGGTTTCCGACGGGATAGAAACACAATTATATTATTCTTTTCGCTGTAAAATTTGTCTGATAACGTTTTCTCAAACATAACAGATGACCGGTTATTGCATATATAATAATATGTGACTCGTTGCAATCATTACGTTGTGTACAGATATAATATATATTTATATATTTCTCTCCTGCGCCATACCCGCGAGACGCGACAAGTGTTGCGTCTGCATCACCACAGCCGAAACCACCCTCGTCGAGAATCGTCGCTAGCAGTATTTCGAAATTTAAATCAAAATCATTTTCGAAAGAGACGCGTTCAAATTTAAATATTACATTATAGACGACCGAGAAAGCGGTTTCACTACATTACGGCGGTCAAAATCGGTTAATTTAATTCTATACGCGATTATCTATAATCGGATAAGGGTTCGCGTCGCTAACACTGTCGTGTTGTCTCAACGATCTCGCACGTAATAATATAAATAGCAAAAAATTACGGGCTGTTCGGACGTTCGGTGAACAATTGTTTAGTGAGGCGGCGGCGACGGCTGCTGTTTCGGTCTGTTTCGAAAAACCGACACCGATCGTATATCCGGGAGCTTAATAGCCGGACGAGTGTGAAAAATACGATAGTATGATAAACAGGACTCGGATTTATGACGCTCACTAGGAAAAATCGTGAAATATCGGCAGGTATGATATTATTGAGCTCTTAAAAACCGTTTTGGACTAGCGGAGAATACAGGGGACTATATTGTATAAAAGAAATAATTAAAAAACGAAACGTTCAACATAAAAATATATTAAAGCGGTAACTGTCCCCTTCTCGACATAACCCGTAGCGGTCACTGTATCGGGGGTCCTGCGTGACCGTCTCGCGTGAGAGTTCGATTTTAAACTCGTGTAACATATTTGTAATATTATTTTACGTTTTTCGTAGTAAAAGTCACCCAATTCAAGTTCTACAATTTTACAAGAGTATGTCCGTACTCTGGATATTATAATATACGAATGCACACTCGCTCGCGAAACGGTTTTTAGTGTTTTTACAGCGATACGGTCGTTCTAATAACACCGGTACTCGTGCAGATAACAATAATATTTTCAAAAAAACAAAATAAAAATAAATAGGCACTGTTCTCGCGGGTCGGGCACTGCCGTAGAGTAATTTAGTTTATACACAATACTATAGACGTTTCTCCCCTTGTTTTCTATGGGAGATCCATAAATCGACAAAACCAAAAAAAAAAAATGAGTAAAATATCAGAAATGGTCGAAAGAGAATTGTTCAAAAGCAAAATCGGATCTTAAACGCATAACGCTTGAATCGTTTCGGAGACATTCGGCAACTGTGTACGCGGCATTACCGTCGAAATATAATTAAAGTTGTCGATTCGCGGACCGCATTATATTATAATATTGTAATCGAGACGCGATTAAACCGAATTCGGTACATCGAACCTACCAATACACAATAATATTCAATACTATACGCGTGTAGGTAGTCGGCGATTGTTGCGTAAAATTGTATAATAATTATTACTGTAAAAAACGAGAACATTTCTGTATTATAATATTATGCGTAGTGTACAAGCGGACCGCCTTGGCCGTACGGTCCGTCCGGTGAAAGTGCGCGAAAAGAACGTCCGCCGCCTTTTACCCCGGGGGAGACCGCGGTCGTACCACGGCGAAAAACAAGAATTGACGTTAATATAAACGTTGCGACATTTTTTTCTTTTTAATTTTTTTCCCGTAAAAATACCCACGTGCCAGTAGCCCTCGCGAGCAAAAAAAAAAAAAAAAACTCGCTGTAAGTCACTACTACGTTACGCAGATAACGTCGTGTATTGAGAAAAACCGCGTTTTTCTATTTTGCATTTTCGATATTTCCGTGCGTTTCACTTCTTTCAAAGCACGATGCGGATTTTCATACACTGTTGTTTTACCCGGCGAACGCACTGGAACAAAAATAAAATATCTCGTGCCGACTTGTCCGACTTTTTATAATATGAGTACGTAAAATTCGTATTACGATTTGCTGGAATTAGTTGTGCGACACACATTTTACACGTTTCCGTGTGCGGAATTTTTTTTAGAGGGGGTCGAGATTTTAAAACGCTATCGCGGTATGTCGAAGCCGCTTTTTGCAAAAAAGCCTAACCTTACCGTACGAGTATATAATATGGATAATACCGTATTATATGAGCGTTTTTGAACAATTAATCAAACGAAGAAAGTTTATATTAACATTAATAACAATAACGACGTTATTATATTATCACTATACGCGTCATAATATTATTATCACACCCGTGCGGGCAATCCCGGCCCCGGTATCGGGCCACCGCCCCGACCGCAAAACCGCAGATGCACTTTCCAATTGCGCGTTATTCGTTCTGTTTACACTGTACGCGTAGGTACACCGGAATATTGTTGTCGCGCCGGTGCACTCGCACGGTATTACGTGTACCGCGAACGCGGTAAACGGGGTCACAGGTACCGGTAAAGTCGCCGTCGCGTCGCTACGTTAATGCGAAAAAATTGTTTAAAAAAATTCGCATTAAATGTCATAAACCGGGTTATTGTGTAATCTCCGCCGCCGTCGCGTGCAACGATTATATTGCCGAGCCGCCCACTTTGCAGCGTACAACACGATATTATTATTATTACCATCGGCTAACCGTACCGGTTACCGTACCGGAGAGTTCGGGTTAACGAGCGGCCGATTAGCGGCGCGTCGACTTGCACACGATTACACGCGCCGGTAACGACCGGCACGGGGGAGTCGGCTGCTTTTACCGCGCGGACGCCGCGACCGTATGCGCTCGTTCGACCGGGCGACCGTCCGCCACAACGCTCTGGCAAACCGTTCGGCCCGGACCGTATGCGCCGCGACCGCAGTCCACCGTCCCAGCCCGACCGAACCTACACTAACCCGACCCCATCCAATCCCGTCGCTGCAACACAATTACATTTCGTTTTGTGATATTTCACGTGTCTAATATTACGGCGATTTCGTTATATTATGTGTATGATTTTTTTTTCTCTTCGTTTATCATAGATACCGACCGAACGCGACCTGACGCCGGCCGGTCGAGACCGCGTACCGGGATGATGCCGCGGACAATGTCGGGACGTCGGTGTTCCGCGGTCACGCCGACCGTTGCTCTGATACTGTTGTTGGCGGTCGCCGCGCGTCTGCCGACCTGCGCCCGGGCGTCTGCTCTGCGACCCGTCTCCGCGCAGCCGTCTGGCGGTGCGGTCGTCGCGGTCGCCGGAGACGGCGACGACGCCGCCACCGAGCTGACCGCCAGACAGCGGCGGGACGCGCCCGCCGCAGTTCCAACGCCGACGGCCGCTAAGACGGTGGTCCGCAAAAAGAGAACGATATTCAAACTGAAACCGCTAATCGTGCTGCCGGCCAAGGTGGCGCTGGGCGCCGGCTCAAAACTGGTGGCCGGAGCCAAGTTGGGCGCCAAGGCGGTCGGACTTGGTGCCAAGGCACTGGGCGTCGGTGCCGTCGGCCTGAAAGCCGTCAAGAAGGTGGCCAAAGTCACCGTGAAGGCGGCCACCGCGCTTGGCGTGAAAGCGGTCCTGCTCAACTTTTTGTTCCAGGTAAGTCCCGTGCGCGCTTCCGGCCTAATTATAATTTGTTACCAGCCAACCCGAGGCTGGTCGATAACAAAGTCGATTTTCCGTGTACAAGCACAAAGATGTTAGCCACCCATTCGTTATCGCGTATACGTTTTTTGTTTGTTCAATATTCTCCGTGTCGTTCCCTCGGAGATTTTTTCCTCAGAGACATAAAATATGAACACCGAGTGCCTTTGGTTAATTCTTGGTGTTTTACGTCGGTTTTCAATAAAATACAAAAAAAAATTCCATTCGCAGAGAGAACTGCGTGCGGTATAAAAAAAGATTAGGTAACTCGCTATTTTGTCTTGTTTGTTTTACACAAGTGGCAAATTTGACGCACCTGAATTTCGCCGCTCCTATTACCCGCCAAGCAGAACACATGCTGACATTAGCCAATTAAGTCCAAAAGTCGTGTTACATTTTCGCTTAGGCTGTATCACGAAAAAACTCAAAACAAAATTATTGCGCAATTATTTGCGGAACGACTGGAACGCGATAAAATTCAACACGTACTACACGACGTTATTACCGACTTAATGCGTCCAATAATAATACTAGTCGAAGGCTATTATATTATATTATACCGTACGAATTATTATGATTTTAGAAAATCAACCAGGCGATCGACTTTAAAACGCGCCTGTTGAGCAATCTGGACCAGAAGAACAGGCTAAAGAACGCGCAATTCCTCGGACCGATATTGCCGAATTCTCCGAAATCCTCCTCGGGGTCTATCGGAAACAAGGTAAGTCGGAAAACTGCAGACAATCCTATTGTTTTATGATTTTTCGATAATACGCACACGCACACTAGCACAAATTAACATTATACGACGATGACGTACTCCGGGGCGTCCTAGAAAGTTTGACCCCGACCATATAAGGTTTTTTTTTTTTTTACTTTTTATTAATAGATTAGAATGTTAAAAACGTTTAACGAGCCGTTCTATTAGAGAGCTCTAATAATGAATCGTTACATATATTTATCGATTTGTTAAACGTTCGTTGAACATAGCGGCTCCGTAAACCGAAGCTCATCAGTTCACTAAATGCAATTAGTAGTTTACTAATAAAAGCCTTACGGAATTATTACAACATTTTAATTCTCTTCAATTTCCACGATATCATTTTTCACTCCTCGTGCTTTTCCGTTCTCCCTTTTAGTTCACAATACAATCGTATTTTATTTAATGAAACGTTTATGCAATTCAAACGGCCCGCCGAAATATTGTTTAACGGTCCAATGTGTTTTTCAATAAATATAACAAACGAGATTTTTATGCAACTCGGTACTACGATAGGGTGTTTTGTTTTTTTGTTTTCATTTCAATTCACTTTTATGTAGAACACACTCGACACATTGTCACTTGATACACTGGTTTACCTTCTCGACAGTCAGAAATCGACTCTAACCTAACCTAACCTATCCAGAGCAGCGCGTGTCGCGTATATTTTTAGGTCAACCGCATTATTGGAGACTTGCACTCTACACAATATTATACTCGTAATAACGACTTGTCAAAAAAAAAAAGTCATTACATTTCATTTCTATACTGGTTTATTTTTCACCAGTATAACATAAGTTATATTTTTTAAAAAACTGCCAATGTATTTGAAATGTAATTTTTTTTTAAAAAATTTCTATCGCCATTATTATATGAAACGCCCGAGTATTATAACACATGGGCGTTTCATATAATACATAATCGTATAGGCATAAATAGCACAAATATTTTTGTAGCGGGAGGAGAAGACTTGAGGCACCCACAATATTGATTATGTAAACTTTGTGTTTGCATGATAACAACTTGATTTAGGGGAGCTGGTTAAACCCCCTCCCATCCAATTGATTTTCATAAATGCCTACATCATATTGCATATGAACGGTACTATACAATATATGCTCGATAGAACTTTCTGGGACGTGCCACTTTGTATAGATACTAACACACACTCACACACACACTTCTCGCACTACTTTTTTGTTATTTTCTTAACGTAACCGTCACATCACCAGCACCGTTAACTGTATTACGAAAATCACCATCACTATAATTCAAAACCCACATCATCTTCGATCCTTAAATATTATACAGGATGAACGACTTTCACAATAAGTCAGTTAGAACCATGAACCAGTTGCGATTTTCTCCGGGGATTTTAAGCGAATTCGAATTCGATTTCTGTTTTTTTTTTGAGTTATGGAACCGTTTAAGCTTTGTTTAACAATGTTTTGAATGTTTCACCATTACTCTCTGTACATACTCACTATAGGTATAGAGATACCTCAGGTGAGTACACACTTTGGATTGGCAAATAGCTAACAGCTCCATTTGAACACAGATTCAAATGGAGAATATTTTCCTAAAAATGTTAATAAGCGTAACACTATATAAGATTGGAATTACCGTTTATAACAGTGTAAAGTTTAGACCGGACCAGTAGAGTTATGGGTCAGCATTAATATTGTAGAAAAATATCCTCTGTTCGAAACCGTTTCAACATGAGGAGGGGGGGGGTTGTTATTTGAAAAACGAAAGTGTATACTCGTATCGCTATTTCAGGTTTAAGGAGTGGGAATGAAATAAAATAAAGAACAGTTCTATAATTATGTACAAAAACACAAACAAATTAACAAAAATCAAATTCCATTAAAATTCTTAGATAAAATCGACGGTTCGTGGATAAATTGGCCACTCGGTGTATGTACATTGTGTTACACAAGTATCTAACCCGAATCGTGGTAACGATGCCGTCTGGCGCGTTGCCGCCCGCTCTGTCTACAGTTTCGAATATTTGAATTCAGTATTTTTTAAGCGTTTAGAATCTAGTGGAATTTAGAACGTTTAGACGTGTTCGGGCCGAAAAGGTTTACGGACAGGAGTGTGGCGAAAAATTCGTATCGTTAAAGTCGTTAAAATATAAAAAAAAAAAAAAAATATTGGAAATTTACCGAACCGAAGACGATTTCAAAAACCGACTCTCTCCCACCCTTAACGTTCGTTATCAAATTTTAATACGTCCAGACACAAACAGAAACAAAAAACACATACACACACAGACACACGAGAATATATTATACGAAACGTATTATTTGTCGTGTGCGATCGGTCGACTGTGATAAAAAATAAAAAAAAATAAAAATACACCGTTTATGACGACGGCGACGGCGACTAGAGGAAAACTGGATGTCGAAACCCGTAAAAACAAAACAAAAACCGGCAACGACAGCCAATCGCGGTACGCGATTAATAATAATAATAATAATAATAATAACAACAACAACGACAACAACGACAACAACGACAACAGTAATAACAACCGTAATAATAGGCATTAATACGAGCGACGACGACGGAGACGGACGAACGGCGACACATAAATAACAGCGCAACAATGATAATAATATCGTTTTACCGTTCGCGCGCGTAAACCGTACAAAAAAACACTTACGACCACTGTCGACTGACGACCACGACGACCACCGTTCGGTGTGCGTGCGCTCGGAGAATTTTGCGAATGTACGCGCGTATTACCTGCGTCATGTGTTATTATTAGGACGACGCCGCCTCCAACGAAACGGCCGTACCGTCCGGCTTCGTGACGGAAGGCTTCGCGCCCGGCTCCAATCTGATCGCCTCGACGCCGCCGGGTTTCGCCGACTTCCCGGCCGTGCCGCAAGACATACCGACCGGCCAACAGCCGGACACGGCGGCCACATCACAGGGTGTCCCGGGCGCGCCGCAGGGGTTCGTTGACGTGCCGCAGCGCGGCTTCGGGCCCGTGCCGCTGGGCTTCGCCGCGGCCAACGACGACGGGTCGCCGGCGTCCGAGAACTCGTTCTGAAGAACTTCGCCACGGCCCAAGAGCGGAAGAGCCGCGTACTCGCCGCCGCCGCCGCCGTGACCACGTCGACTACACCCGGTTTCCCGCGGTCCGCACGATGCGTCCAGTATACCGTCGCGTCGGCCGCATCATCATCATCGTCATCATCGTCATCGTCATCATCATCGTCGTCGTAGTCACCGTAGTCGCCGCGTATACGCATAATACAATATCATTTGATTCGATATTATTACATATTACGATATTTTAGTCATGTTAGCGTAGTTATTATACCGCGATAACGCGTGGGTAGTATAAGTTTTACGGTAATGATTAGCGAATATCAAAGCCACGTCATATTACCGTTATCGTTGTTAGATTATTTTTTATCGTGGGTAATTACAAGCGCAGTACTTCGGGGGGGGNGGGGGGGGGGGGGGGGGGGGGGGGTTGTCGACGTTAATCAAACGTATATTTTTCCCCCTAATTCTATTGTTTGGTCCGATTGAAAAAATAGCTTTTTTTTTTTTTTTTTTCCCGCATCATTTTAGGACCTATGATTTTCTCGACATTCGCCTGGTTTAAAAACATCACTCCGTCGTTTCGGCGCGAAATCCAATGTGTCTTGCCAAACATCAGCAACACTGAGGTTACCGTACTGATAAGGACGTGTTAATAACGTTATCGATCCGAGATATATGACAGGGCGTGATTTCGGTCAGTGGCGACCCGCCAAACCAGAAACCGGGTAAGACGCATTTGATTCCCGTCATTACCGATCGTTATGAATAGTTTTCAATTTAATTTTAATTCCGTATACGGCCACAAGCCGAGTAGTTTGGCGTGGCGTAATTCGTTCTGTTCCGTAGTAAAATTTTTGTTCGGCCCGCGTAATTATTGGCCGTACACATTTTGAAAAGTCGAAATTGACGTCTTGCGCTGTACTTTCGATTTCCGGGCGGCAAACGTCGTCGTCGTTTTTTTTTTATCGATTGCACGATCGTTTCACAAACCGTACTCGATCGTTGATTGTTTTTTTTTTTTTTCACACTTGCGTCGTAATTCTAATTAATTTTAAGTACGCGTCGCGTCGCAGACCACCGTAAAACGTTTTCGCAATCGTGATTTCAACGCCGCCGTATGATATTTCGCATTTTTTTTTTTTTTGCTTTTACAGTCGCCTCGCGGATAATCGAAATCTCCGTTATCGCGCGTATCGCGTCATAATGATACTTGCCGCGTGGTTCCCCGTTTACCGTTCCGAATCTTCGCGTTTGACCCGTTAGCTCTTATCACTGTTACTGTCAACGTTTCGGGGTTTTTTTTCGTTATCATTGTTATTATCACGCACATCGCACGTCGCGCGGCCGTCTTTTTATCGCGTGCGTGCAGTGGCCATCGGAGCCGCACGCCGTTCTCGCAGGAACCCGGGAATCTCAAACCACGCGCAGCAAAAAAGGGCTCGCGTCAATTTCGAAATTAATTTTTTTTTTTTAAATTCCTCACCGGCATACTACGCGCACACATCTTTTACCCGGATAAAACCCTAATGTTACTATCATATTTTCCCTCGTGATTATAATTTTTTCGATATTAAATCGTCATTCCTCGAATGATTTTTTTTTTTTTTTTTTTAAATTACGTCATTTATATTTCATCGCCCGAAGATGACTTAAAATCGGTCATACCTTTCTCGGCACTACTATGGCGCTCGCGACAAGCCTGACGACTCGGGCCCACGAGAGCGCGTTTCCGCCGAAAGGGTCGCGGAATCCATATCAGTTTTGTAATAATAAATACAGGTACACAGTTTTAACGGAAAATACTCGTGGCGATTTTCGCACGGTTCACAGACGCGTCGAAAACCCCCGTGACGGCTCCGATTAGCTCGGTACCGGCATATTAATACGGTGTTGTTATACTGCGGTAATAATCTTATGCGAGAACATTCGGTAATTTTCGTTTTTTCCCCCTTCGAAATTCACAGCCGGACACTCACAAAAAAAAAAAAAAAAAAAAAAAAAACACCGTACGCGTTATTCAATTAACGAAATTTACTTTATCGGCAACCATCGAAACAGTATTTTTGGTCTTTTATATTTCAGTACCTATACGGGTACGTAAGTATGTTTCGCGAACAAAAACTGCAGTATTTCATAACAACTTGTAAAATCGTATTTTAATCGAACATAGCTTTTTTTTTTAGCTGAAATGAAAAAAAAAAAAAAGCAATGACAAACAAATGGCAAAACGTTGTGATAATATTTTCTGTGCCCTTAGAATGTTTTCCCGTAGCGGCAGACAATAACCGCGACGCATAATATTATCGCAGCGGACGACGTATGCGTCCCGACGTTCAATACGATAGTTTTCCTTCCCGTTTTATACACGGGCTTATTAGGACTGTCCACGGCAATTGTGAACGACTGTCGGTTGGTTAAAAAAATAAAACCATCGATTTCGGTCGCTGTTGCGCGCAGTTAAAATTTTAAATCATTCCGTTTCGGATTGTAGTTTCCCAGTAGTGTTCGTCTGTTGAATAATTCAGCGGAATATTTAATACGATTACGATTATTTGCATTTCTATAACGTCATTTTTATCATCTTGTATAATACACGACGTTGACGTTTTTTTTTTTGTTCACAACAATTCCAACGTTTTTGAATATTTAATATTTTTACGGTAACGAAACCGCGTGTCCGTTTGTACAAACGAAAGTATTGTCCCGGGTAAAATCGCCGCGATGTAGTTTTACGAAAAGAAATATTTTCAATAAATCACGTCGGCGTTTACTACGCGTCGTCTCGCGGGCGCTGCAGAAGCGTAATCCGGCACTCGTTCAAAATTACGCCATCCGCCGCGAATACCGTTGTCTGCCGCCGCGGTTTTATGCCGATCCGATAAAACACGCGGTGTCTGCAAATAAAAACCGCGTTGCCTTTACAACGCGGTATTTCCGTTTTGTCATTTTTCCCCACCCCTCCCGCGAATCGCGTTTCCAACTGTTTGCGAGGATTTCGTTCGATTCGCCGCCGCAAATTATCGTTCGGTTTTCAATTTTAGCGGACGTCCGTTCAACGGGTGTAAACAAATCACGATTTTACGAAAAAAAAAAAAAAAAAAAACCGTACGCACGTTTATCAATTTCGGACGGCCGCTGCATTACCGCGCACACGGTACTCGTGTTTTAAGCTCGGCGGGGCCGAAGGTCCCCGGGCGACCCCCCAGTCACCCCGTGGTTTCGCCCGCGCGTCCGCCGCCCCGGCCTCAACCGATCGTTCACGTGCAACAATAAATCGCCGTGACAATTCGCGCGCCGACGCCATCGCAGTCGCAGACGAACATTATTCAATTCATATAGGCACTGGGTTTGGGTTATTATTATTCGTTTGTTTTTTTTCTTTTTTTTTTCTGTAACGGTCTCGCGATTCGTTTTTTTTCCGGTCCGCCCCCGCTATTAGGATTTACAGCATTGTGCGACGCTGCGATAACCGGGGTCATTCGGTTTTCATGCTCGTTTAATGTGTAAGCGACTATTTTTATTATTATTATTTTTAACAAGTCGCGCCGCCGATCGCGCGACTCGAACGAACAGTCGTTTACGGGCGATAATAATATTGTATACAACGGAATTTGTAATTCGGTTTTTTTTTTTTTTTTTTTATTATTTTTGTTCATTTGCACATTCTATTACGGTGTCTTAAATTATTTTTACGCGATTCGTCCGAACAAAATTGTCTACGAAAAACGCAAATAACACGGCTGGCCAAAATCGAACGTTTATAACGACGGATCTCCTACAGGGGCGTCATTCGAGGGATTCAGACTATACTATGGAAGCCCTATATTTTTAAATGTTTTTTTTTTTTTTTTTTTTTTTGGATTCACACATAAAATGTTATAATTGGGCCGTTGTAGATGAAATGTAAAATGCAAAAGGTAATAGAACCACTGCCAATGGTCGCCACTACCGGAGTCCGCGACCGTTTGAGATGTGAAACACGTGGGATTTTTACCATTAATTAAACTGTCAACTGTTAATTGTTATCGTGGCTAAATTAAAAGGCATGTCGACAAATTTAGTATTTTAATATTAAAACGTAAAGTGGGAATACGAATATAAAAGCGCGAAAAATGTTCAGAAATACGGGCCCGACCCAAATGTTTGCGTCCCTATTTAAAAACTCAAATGACGCCCCTGATTTGCGGCGAACAGGCGTCATATAATTTGTCACGCGAACTAAAACGAAAAAATATTTCCGTACGAATCGCATTTCCACGTTTCCTCTCTGCCGCCCATCGCCAAGACAAAAAAGAGCCGGAGACCGACCGGAACGCCGGCTTATAATAATAAACGCAGCTAAACGTTTGGCCGTTAGGACCAACGTGTCAAATAAGTTGCTTTCGTTTCTCCCGAAAGGACGCCGTCGAAACGAAACCCGTTTTGTATTCTCCGAGACATTCCACTGTACAATAAATGTACGATATAAAAACGTATAGCCGAGTCACATTTAGAAGTGCGAAAATAATTTCACATGTCGTAAAACTTGCTACTAAAAATAATATAATACAACGGAGAGGGGTAAAAACCGCCGAAAACTTGTTTTTCAATCCAAAAAACCCGCTGTAGATATAACATAATTAATTAGGTAATAACGATATTGTCGTATTTTTTAAAATTCTCTCTTTTGTACGTGTAAATAGTTTTTTTATTTTATTTTTAGAAAATTCATACTGCTAGGCAGGTATTTGTGTACATTGAAAAATCAAATGAAATAAAAATTAAAAATTTACGGAATAGGCACTAGCTGTATTTTAGGATATATTATTATATTATTATTATTACAATCGTTCGACATTATCATCTTAACGTCGTTGTTGGTATACCGTACGAGTGTACGTCATAATCAAAATATGAGGACGGATTTACAATAATGTGCACTGCAAATTATGCATTTTAGGCGTTTATAAATTATCACTGTTAACAGGACGGAGTATATTTCGTTTTCATATTGTCATTTGTTTCGATACCGGACGCAAATTGGTCTATTTAAATTACTGCAACAGGACATTGTCAGTGTTTTTGTACGATATTTTAATTTTCAAGTGAGATACACGCGTTTTAGACCGTGATGTTTCACACGCCCGTGAATCAAAAATCAAAATAACGATAACGCATACACAACGTACAAAAACACAGACAATGTTACCATCCCCATTAAGCCCGATAACGGATCGAATGACGTTCTGTTTTTAATATTATGATAATATACGATTCAAAATGTTCAATTACCTTGAAACACAATATACGCGAACGAATGTTATACCCCCCCGAAAAAATGTATCCACGGACAATGTGCACGACGCATTTTAATCATAATAATTAGCACCACCGAAACGGCAGCTCGAAAAATTCGACTTCGATGTACGCAATCACCGTTTTGCCTATACGCGGTGAAAATGTGTTTTCACCGCAAGGCATTATTGGTTGCTGTAAATGCCACAGTGTAATAGTACCTATCTGGGAATAATACGCGATCGCGTTACAATCAATTTAAATGAAATTAATGATTTGGTCCACTGCGACACCGAACGTGGTATCGCTCGAGAAATCAAAAAAAAAAAAAAAAAATCGGAGATAATTAAACACATTTTAAATTTATAATTTAACTAAATAATCGCGTTTAAATATTATAAATAGCCAGCTATTATAAATCCGTCCTCTAGTAGATAGAATATAATCAAAACTCGTTGTAAATTATTTTTAATATGTATAAGTCTTATTGATAATACGGTGCATATACGAATATGCCGTTAAAATATTTATATTATTCTAATCAGTGTTATGACATTTCTTATCATTATGTTATTTCATTAGTGTTTTCTTATATAGGTGATCTGTCTATGTTATAATAATATACATAATAACTTAATTATTAAAATAGTGTGTATTTAAAAACACACTAAAGGCAAGGTTGAAATGTTACCATATTATTATCATAATCACTATTGTTGTAAACGATAAAATTATGTATACATAATAAGTTTTAGTTATATAGAATTATCATTATCATATATGCATGGATATGTTTATTATTATTATTAATTTTTTTAACTTTACCTATCTATCATAAATTATACTATATACAAATATTGGGAATAAAGTATTCTGAAGATTTTTTTTTTTTCAGAATTATTGAATACTGTATTCCAAATAGATTTAAAAAGGATTTTATTCTCTAAATAAAAACAATAAAAACCAAAATACTTTTTGTCTTGCCTCATTTTAGAGTATTTAACGTTTAGTTTTAAGAAGTGAGCTTTATTTTCTCGAAAAACGATTTTTGAATTATTAAAACGCTCCGATTTGTTCACGTATTACTCTAAAAGATGCGTAATTTCCATCCGGTAATACCTACTTAACTCAAAATATTTTTTTCAAATTCTCAACAGTTTCAAAGGCGCAACTAAGGTAAAAATTCTGGGGGGAGCTATAGCCTCAAACAAATTTATTTGAATAGATTTAAGAATATAATATTGTACTACATTATTGTAGTCATAAAAACAAATACAAATAATTATTATAAAACATTAATATATCTAACTATATTCAATGTAACTGATGGGGCTATTTGGAAAACTGGAGTGACTTAGCTCCCCCAAGTCCCCCCCCCTAGTCGCGCCTATGAACAGTTCAAACATATAAAGTTATCTACACATTATCCATCATCGTATAATATTTATATAGTTCCACTAAGTCCTCCAAACCTAACCTTACATTTTTTTTTAGTTTTACAAGAACATTGTAAATATATTTTCCGCAAAGTATTTGGAATATTTTGAAAATACTGTGTGTGTAAAGTATTAGAATACATGTACTGAATACTTTAAAAAATTATTTTACCCAAGTTCAGGCTACTTATCCATCAAATTGTGAATTATATTCGAAAATTTATATTATTTGAAATTTAAGTAACATAATATTATTTGTATTGATTATATTATTTTAAAATGTTCGATCGTATATATGCTGTTTAAGTCACATTAGATATTATAATGAGAAGTGTTTTTAAGGATGTGTTTTGTGTCCATATGAACACACAGTGTAAGTCAGAAGTCCGGTGGAATAAGATTTTGTTTGCAGTGTGTCCACTAGAAAATAAATAGTAAATGGTTGAATAAATTATCATCACACAGTCGCGACGTCATAGTAAGCAGTTTACTCGTCGCCTTTAATAGACATAACCCGCCAAACATACAGGAGAACTAAAAGCGTTCTGACGGTGCGGTGTGCAGTAACTACGGAAAGTCCTAAAGTTAAGGGGAAGGACAGGTTTATCTGTTCGTAAAGCTTTTTTATGGCAATGAGGAGTGAACACGCAGTTGATATCGACTATAAAATGTCCTGTCATATTGCATTTAAAAATATCATTACAATGTGCAACTTGCACAGAAGGATTTGCCACAAATAATGATACGATATTAAACGACGGTAAGGTCAGGTAAATTTTTTCCGATTAACTGCAGATATACGTCAAACCTATGTTGTCGCTTTGCCATTAAAAAAATATAGTTTTTGAGAATACAGACATTTATTGCGGACAAAAAATAAATTTAAAAAAAGCATAAAAATATCGTTTTTCTGCACTTGGTAAGTCGCATTCGGACGTTTCAAGACTACAGCAGTACCGGTAAAACCATCGGGCGAACGCCCGTAATAATATAAAAGTTTATACGTCTAGTTTTAAACTGTCAATCTACGAGAGCGATTAATTATACCTACCAGTGAAGACGAACTACAAAAATATCACTATTTCGAGTATAAATACGTAAATTTCACCATTGAGTTCAATTTATTTATTTTTGACCAAAATAATATAGCGTGTGATTAGCATGACTTTGCGTGCTTTTTGTTTAAGCGTTAAAATATCAGAGATGCGTTTCTCCTGCTCTTCCCCCGTAGTCTTTATACAAATCTGAAAAACTGTTTCCTAACGGCGGGGAAACGTCGTGAACATTTTGGGACCAGTTGAGAAAATTCGTGCTAATTTCATCATGCTAAATATTGGTATCGGAAAAAGTTCGAAAAGTTAAATTAAATTCACGTGGGTGTAGGGAGCTGGAGAAACTTTTTTCCACACAAGGTTTTTTTGATAATGTAACGCCTAAACTTATGCATGCGAATTGCAACGATATGAATACAATTACCATGCGAATACGATACTTATCACATGCCGAATATTGTCATAAGAAAAAGAAATTTGAATCGGGGAATGTATACTGGTGTATAATTTACGAGTATACAATTTTTTTAAGATCTGCCAACACCACCAGTAGTCATATACCGACAATTAATTGTTTATTAATTAATTGCTAATGTTTTAATTAATTGACAATCAATACATTTACGGTTAAACACTCATCTTTTTAATCGAATTTTATCGAAATTTATTTTATTGAAATAAAGTTAGGTACTTGATATTTGTTTGTTTAATCATTTTACACAATATTTAAATATCTATAGTTGACTAAATTTGTTTTTCATACTGCACCATATACAATCCATTAATTTTACTTACTATGGTGGTCACTACTGGTACCTATCTATCTACCTACCAAAAAAAAAAAAAAATAAACAATCAATGGACTTTGACGAAAAATATGTGTTTTTTGAAACCACTAAAAACATTGCAGACAACACGGTGCACAGCAGTTATGGTAATTGACACTTTAGTCAGCGTATTTCGAAAGCGATGAGATGAAAATTAAAAAATAACATATGGCACACACTTGTACATTATAATATTATAAATATATATAAGTAACCGTTTTTGTAAATCGACAATTGTAGGGATTACTATTACCATAGACTTTTGTTTTTGTCAACTAACGTATATCGTTCAAACTGTTCGAGCAACAATATTGTATAATATTTTTTATCGATCTTCCGGTCTACATAATTAAAAATGCATAATTTATGGACTCATCACAAGACATCAACTATTGTTTTACACTATAGTGCGCTATTCGTATTTTTTTTTTTTTTTTTATGTCTGTACAACAGTACATTATTCATTATCCGGGAAGTATATATATATATATAAATATTTTTTTTTCTACTGATTACAATATATTATAATTACGACACAAAATATAGGTATACATATTATAGCATTGTAATACGTATTTGCATAGTGTGTAGATATCTTATTTCTACTAGTCTACCGCTACGACGACGTGGTTTCTACGGAGTAACTGCATTAACTTTTTGTAAATTACGATAACGAATTATATTATTTTTCGTTTGTTTACTGTACATTGTTAAGTAATCGAATAATTTAGTAAACGATAATAATAACTATAGTTATGAGGCATCAACATGAAATCACGGTCAATCACCAGCGACACAGCTAGGAGGGGCTTCTGGGATATTGACTCCCTCCCCTTCGAAATTTGATATTTTCTAAGAATTTTACGTAATAATACTATTAACAAGTTTTTTAAACTTTTCCTTGTAATTTGTTACAGGGACGTGTACGTTGCATGTCGTGTGCTTCGTCCGTTTACTAATTCACTATCTCAAAAACCTATCAGATAATTTGTCGAAATTCATAACCCTCCAAAAATGAATCTTTGTTACCAGAGCCGGGCTAACCTAGTGGTTTACTGTCCTGAAAATGAATCTCGAATTTATTTATGTTATTAATAGAAAAGGAGACATATAATATACTCGCATTTGAGCTGTTTGATTATTAAAAAAAAAAAAAAAATAAAAACAAAATAAGGTCATCGGAAAACTCGAAGGTTGTGTTGCCGCTGATAAACTTTCCCCCCAGTTACCCACGGTCGGTTATCACTGATCAGGTTCCATGTGCAGAGCTCGGGGCTTGAGTATTATCATCGAAAAAATGTTTACCAATGTTTTAAAAGAAATTATTAGTATGTAATAAGTATAATGTATATGAACGAAAAACGAAAAAAAAAACAGGTAATGATGGAAGGTGAAAATCACTCCCATGTTACGACCGATACTGAACACGATTATATGATAATATATATTATATAATAAAAAGTTAAACATTTTTTTTCCCTTATTTTTAGGAAGATGACGACTTTCTGGCAGCGTCTCCGGGTGACGACCAACAAATATTGGCTCAAGAACAGTCCAAGACTTCGGTCGTAGCACCGGCTGTGTTGCCGACCGAAAACACAGAGGAGGTGACTTTCGACGTAAATAAAGTCACTCTTCAGGTCCCCGATCGGTTGTTTGGTCCCAGTTTCACGGCCGTCAACGGCATATCGCAGACCATCGGCACCGTCATACAGGTACCCGATATAACTCTGGAGTACCAATTTTAGGGGAATTTATTACATTCAGTGCCGGCCCAATAGATTTTGGGGCCCGGTGCAGAATTTCGCGGGGTCTCATATATATTTATATAAATATACTTATATTTATTTATTTTATTTTCTAACGGACTTAATTATTAGTTCCTGAGTGGAGTGAGTAATCTGTGAGTAATGGTGTTTATTGTTTTGTTTTTTTTTATGTGAACACTTTTTTTTACCAGAAATCTCACTCCGATTATCAAATATAGCATATTTTCTAAAAGAAAATGTTCTCTGGGTAGTACTTTAGAGAGATTATTTTTTTAAATTCTTATGAATATTCAAGACGATGAGGAAAACCTGGTGCTTCAGGTTAGAAACGATTGAAAGATTAAAAATATAAAGTTGTCATTGGCAACCGTTTTTATCTATTTATTTTTATTATTAAGATTTCATTATTTTAATCATTTTTAAACAATCATTGTTGTTATGGAAACGCATATTGTACTAATTTCAACATAATATGACATATATATTGTTGACAGAGCAACACTGTCAGCTGAATTCCACTCAGAATCGTCTATTTGTTAGCAATGGTTTATCGTTGCAGCTGATATATATTAAATTCCCGTCTATAACCTACCTTTCTAACTTCCCACTCATAGCAGTAGCTGTGTCCACGTACGAAATATGACCGTCCTTTTTTTTTTAATTATATAATCTTTTAAGTCTGGTTAGAAAACTAAATTCGTAACTATTTTTTTTTTTTTTTTTAAGGGGTAACGGTCTTTAAGATTAACCCTCCAAGTATATTCTCCTCCATCTGTCTCTATCCTCTGTAGTTTCATTGTATTCTAGCTTCTATTATTCCTACATCTTTGGTAACACAGTCCTCCTATATTTTCAATAAAAAATTGTCTCTCTGTGCCCACTGAAAAGGACACAGAGACGCATATAATTGACGCAGCGCATTTCCCAATTTTTTATAAAAACGTATAACTCGATTGTTTATTGACTTAGAAAAACGGATTAGGCTTAGAACCTGATGTATTCTATCAATAAAAAAAAAAAAAAGTGCTTGACGATTGAATAAGTAGTTCCAGAGATCGTTCCTTGCAAAGATCCTCATTTTCACATTTATATTATATTATATACTTTGTGTGTATCTACGAGAAAGCAAAATTCGATTATTAAAAACACAGCATTCCGATAGACGTGATATAGTACAATAATATCATGTTCATTTAGACGAGTGTAGATGAGTGTAAACCGGTTTTTAATTTAGTTTTTAAATTCGGGACCTCAGACCCCTTGATGTATGGGTACATTTCATAACCGTTTGAATTAACGGATGCACATTAACGTATAACCTCGGATAGTCAATATAATAGTATTATCTTCTTTGTCAGTAAAAATGGTATTTTATTATTACTACCAACTTCCTGTCACTTCCACAGCAACGATGCGTTTGTATGGTAAAAGAAATTATATGCATATGAATAGGTACGTATACACAATGTGTGTAATATGCATTGTATACCTACCAAACATTTTCTCCCGATTATTTTACGTTTTCGGTTACACAAATCAAGAATAATAAAATAATACCTATTTAATAATCATTTTAGTTGTTCTCGTTCGAAAATTTCCGACGTTTTAAATGTGAAATCGATTTGTACCTATATGTACTTATACTATCGTGCATTAAAAAAGCTATCCTAGGATAATAGGAATAGGTGCAGTCACTATTGTAAGTGGGAAGTTGGGAAGGTAGGATATAGACAAGAATTTAATGTACATCTGTACAACGATTTACCATCGCTAACGAAAATATGATTCTGAGCGGAGTTCGGTTGATAGTTTTGCCGTGTCAACAATATATAGATATCGTACGCCATACTATGGCGAAATAATTACACATACATTAAAAATTTCCTTTAATAATATTTGTTTAATATTGTACTTATTTTCCTACGTTTTGTCACGGTTTTTCTCACTTATTGGAAAAAATCTCGGGAAAATCAAATAACGACCACTTGTAAGTACATTCCCAGTCACGTAGCCTTATAGAAAAAGTGCTATCATTGTAAAACCATTAAACATTCCTCGCTCCGTTTAAAAAACCAAAATTCTCGTTGTATAATATTTGTTTACGATTTCGTGAACGGCTCTCGAAATCTGAGGGCCGGTTTTATGTTTACCCAGAACTGAGAGCCGATATTCAATGGTGTCGTTTCTATGAAGTATAATTTACTGACCATATTTTACGTTTGAACCGAGCCGCCGTTTTTATGGCACCGAGGATAAATTGCTATAGTTATTCTGTAGCGGATCGATCGTAAAGACGCGGTCAATAGAAGTCTTTTGATAAAATTCTGCGTTTCGAGATAAAACCGGATTGTATACACGAACGAATGCACGTGCGGTGTTTGGGGTCCGGCCATAGGTTTCTCCCGGACAACACGATAATATGTCGTTATCGATATTTCATGTACAATATTTTTTTTTTTTTTGACGTTTCATGTACCGATTACGTGACCGCGTTAAATCGTTTTTACAATACGCGGGTTGTTCCACGACGTTATGATTATACCCATCGCGATATCAGGTAATGAAGATAATCTGGTCCCGGTTTTTTTAAAAAAGAACTATACACATAATTTAGAAAAAAAAAACACCACGCCACTGGTGCAGTTAACCAGTCGAAATCACGTCAGATTTATATAAGATATAAATAAAAAAACGCGCGCATAGAAGTAAAAACGAATAAATGAATGAATGCGTCGCCTGGAGCGTTGCGATTAGTGTATTATACGACCGGTTTCGAATTGATAAATTCAACATCTGGTTTGAAACAGTTAAAATGTAAAACGCGACTCATTCATTCGTTTATTTTTTATTTCTATGTATGCATTTTATATTTATATATTTATTTGCGAGCGTAACCTTTTCAATGGTTTTGTTTTTACTTCATTATTTTATTGTAGAATGCGATTATTTTCATTATTTCGCAACGGGTTCCATTTTCTTGGGCACCCTTTACAAAACCACTTTGTTTCGATTTTACAATAAATGCGTTTACAAATTTCCATTATTTCTATTTGTGATGATGGACGCCTATTGGGTAAGGATTAGTATAAGGATTCGATAAAAACAAGGAAATATCGCTTGGATTAATTATTTGCGGGCTTGCCGTATATCGATATCAGTAATACCAGTAAAATCAAAATATATATAAAAATTAAATTATTGTAATTACATTTTGGGCATTCTTAAGGTTGTTCACTGTAATAAATTCACGGTTTACCTAATAACTTATTATTAACTTTTATTTATATACTTAAGCGTAATAATTATACAAAATAATATTTGCCGCAGTATGTAAAATTTATCTTGTCGGTTTCGCCGCATTATGTTAAATTTGTTTTTGCCGCAGTTTCATCTCCCGAACACCTGAGCACTCCACTAACCGAACCGCACGCGTATTTTTCAGAACGCGGCCGGCAGACTGGCCAGGCTCGTGGAAGCCGTCAAGGCGGCGATATGGCGGAAAGCGGCCAGCGTCTCCTCGATAAGCAACTCGAGCGGAAGTTTCGCCGGTAACGGTCAAACGGCGGGCGGCAACAGGGGATCCCGGGACGCGGCGGCGGCCGTGCAGACCGACGACGGACTGGACCTGGACCCGCTGGACGAGGCGGCGTCCGCGGCCGCGGCGGTGTCGTCCAAAAAACGCAGCCCCGACGCGGCGACGGACACCGCGGGCGCCAAGGGCGTCGACGGCTAATGGTCGGCGCGCCCTCGACCGCCGCCGTCGTCCGTGACGATTGTTGTGCGCGGCTTACCCAACTCGTGTTGTACCCGCCTACCGTTATAATAATAATCCATACGGTCCTTAATCCATCGGCCTTATCACTACCCTTGTTTACCAGTCGGTTGATAAGACGTGCTCGTTATCAGTGACGGCACTGCCGCCACGGATGAATTAAGGGACGTCCGGAATTTGATACTCTCGTATCGAATTCCGACAAATTTTGCGACTCGGTGTAGTATATAGACGAAGGGCTATCGTCGGTCGTTTCTCGTACACGGACAAATGCAACATCAAAATGAGAAGATTTATCTTCTCGCCGTAATTATCGCGAACAGTTCTATTATTTAATAGTATTCGATAGTATTTACAATACTGTCACTGGTCCTTTGATTATTTTTTTTTTTTATATAATTGGTTGCGCGGGGTAAACATTTCCACTACACGGGATATTTTAAAATTATTTCTTTAAATTGCAATTTCGTATCTTATAAAAACTTATTATTTAATAATTATTATTTTTTAAACCTTGAATAAATGCCTTTCCATGTTATTTTATATATAAAAAAAGGAAAAAAAACTATCTTTACTAATCAGTCGCGCGGGGTAAAATGTTTTCCAAATTCACGCTCGATACACGCGTACCGAATACACTAAAATATTTTTCGATAAATTAAATGTCGTGATCGGATAATGGTACAACTTCGATAAGCTAGTCAGAGTTACGAACCTGCATTACAGAAATTGTTAGAAAAAAAAAATGTTTAAATACACTAGGAGATTATTTACCCCGCACTAATGGCAAACAATTATGAAAATGTAACATTTAGAGCTGCTTGTTTCTTAAATTTTCTAAAAAAAAAAAAAAATTCCGTAAAAATAGTTAGTACTTTTCGAGATAATAAATGTCTTATCGAGGATTTATCACTCTGCATGATGTAAAATATAGATAATGGTGTACATTGTACAATATTCTGAAATAAAAACGTTATTTTATCAAATTAATTAATTTTTCTCACTTTTTTCGCTAATCTCGCTTGCCCCGATCGCAGCCATTGTCTCATTTCTCCCCCTTTCCCACCAAGAAAAAATCATGTCCATGATTTGACTATCGAAAGGCGATCGTTTTTCGACGGGTTCTGTGATAAGTACATAAACTAAACAACTTTTTTACCTATGTGTTGTTTTCTAGAGTTCTACGTGTACGAGAAACTAAATTAACAACGAGTCGCGAATTTTTTTCCATAATTATTATAAAAACGTGTATTAGACACTGTTGCGTACGCGGGTACATGCGTTTTAGTATAGACTTTATAATAGTTAAACGAACAATAGCTTTTATAACATATTATTTTATTACATAAATTACCTATTAATTAATAATATTAGTATAGTATATTTAATAATATTGTAATACCACACGTGACGGGCGATGTGGTGTGTGTGAGTGGATATTTTTTTTTTGTATTGTAAATAATTAAAATATAAATATAAATACATAATTTTATGTTAAATATAATGATAAATATAAACGATAATCAAAAACCAAAACGTGAACGACTTACACGAGTATATTAAAAAGTATTGTTTTTGTTTACGCCCTGTACGCACCGTTACCTATATACCCATATTATACAGAGTGATCAACATAACGTATAAGACGCTCGTCACAGTAGCACGGGAAGCGTTCACGATTTTCGGAATTTACTTTTTAGAAAATTTATGACACTGATAACTCTGCAATATTTCCGTACATTACTGTTATTTTTGGTTATTCTTATTATTATTTTTTTTGTTTTTTTTTTGTTTTTTTATGGGTGAAGGAGAGTCTCTACTAGATACCCGTTTTCCACTTTTAAATAATAACTTATATTTAAAAAAAAATCAAAAAATAATATGAAGTTTTAGATTAAAAACAATATTTGGTGTTATAATTTTGAACTTCCGTCGACTGTCGATATTCCACTTTAAAATTGTCGTTTTTCAGGCAAACTGAGATTTTTACATTATGTTGATCGCTCTGTATATGCCCTTTTTTAATACTTATTTTCGAGGTACATTTTCGTATATCTTGTTTATAGATACTTTATTTTCTTTCGTGTATAACTCTCGTCTCCAATATTTGTTTTTGTAATTTTTTAAATTTGTAAAAATTTTTGTAATAGTATAATTGATATTGTATATCATTTGTATGGTAATTATACAAATGAAGATACGGTTTTTTTGTTTGGAATTAAACACAAGCAAGGAATAACAATTATTATATAATAGGGGATAACAATCTTTCGAATACATTTTATTTATCTTGTCTTACAGAATTTCTTAAAAATATAATAATAATGTATTTTTGATATTTCATTGAAAATAAACAATACTGAAATCTTGTATGTTTTGTATCTTGTATTGTTGATCTAATTTGTCGGCATAGGTATTTGTAATATTGTAAAATGGAATTGTACTTAGTTTCCATATTGCATCACGTATTTTAAAGATTTAATCAATATTAAATTTATTTATTTTTAACTTAGCTTTTTTTTTTTTTACACGGAGTTATAACGAAGTGATTAGAAGAACTTAGTGAGATATCAGCTATTCTTTAAAGTAAAAAGTCGCGATTTGATTTGACTATGTTAAACCTGATAATGAATTGTGATAATTTATTCATTTTTTTTCTTTATCATATATTGTTTTTAGTTATTATTTATTATATACAATAAACAATAATAATCCAGCTAGCACCGCCGGCCTCCTGTTGTTATATCGTAAATTTTCATTTGTAACTAGATTTTTTTTTTTTTTCTAAAAATATAATGTAAACATCTTTTCCGCCTAACAGAGGGTCCGGCGTCGTCGTCGCTGCAGCAACGAAAGCAGCGGGACAACAAGCGGCGGATCGGGGGACGATTATATTTTACGACGTCGTCGCCGCAGTAACGAGAGCGAGACGTTTTACGATATTTCCGTCGAACATGAAATATCGGTCTTGAAAGTACTTGAACAAATTTTGGTCGTAACTTTCAATAACCAACCCGTTTGCGAGTTCCCCCGTTCCCGCCTGCACAATAATTCTGATCGGCCGACACCTCGTACGGCTTTCTATGTTCAGCCGTTTGCCCTGTAAAGCTGGCCGACGGATTAACAAAAACTAGCATACGGTTTATCAACGGTACAACACCGTTTCCCGTCGCTATAAGCCGGTAGCTTGCATACGTTTACATTTATAGTTTGTGCGCTATTTTTTATTTTTTTGTTTTTTTAACAAAGCTACTTACCGTCATCGCGATGGATAACCACGTCGGTAATTTGTGCGCAACCGTTCACGGCATGCGGCTTACGTATGGGATATTACGTGATATGGAGATAATTTGAATGCGCGCGCTCGCGTAATAATATTGTACACCCGAGGAAACGTACGCGCGCGATAATATTTATGGGCTACGGTGCTGTGCCGTACAATACTGCAGCGGCCGTGCGCGCCTATAACTAGAAATATTTCTCCTTGAACTCGACCCTCTCGAATTCTCGGAAACCGCTTTGGAAATAGTCTTTTGGGTAACAAACCGTTCGGCGGCGGTAATACGTTAATCGACAGATTATGGAAATGAGAGCGCAGTGCGCAATGTTATCCCGTTCGCGGTGTCGGGTCAAAACGCCGTATTATATCAGGCCCGTAAAATTAATTGACGTTCCGGGAACGGGAATGAGAAAAAAAAAAATATAATCGATTACGCATTATAACGTTATGGCAATGTACCAAGTAATAATAATAATATAATACAACAGAAAAAAAAAAAAAAAAAAGGTTTTATACGACGGCGCACGCAGGTACTTTACACGGCGAACCGGACGACTCGACCCCGACGATATAGATAAATAACGTCTGGGAGGTCGGCAACGCACGTGTTAATATTATTAAGGCTGTAGGAAAATAATTCGGGTTTTTAGTTTAACGGTCAGAGTCTCGTAGTTCTGTGCGTGTGTATATAATCGTCTGTATTAATTAGCGAAGAGGAATAATAATTACTGTTTCGTATCTTCGGTAAATATATGTATGTGTATGCAGTTAGCGTGTAATATTATAAGCCTCGCCGTCACGTCACGGACAGTCCAGCGAGATGTTATCGCGGTTCGAAACCGGTGTTTGGGAGGGGGGGGGGGGAAATCTGACACGAGCATTGGTTCCC